CGGGCCCCCCCCCGGCTGCATCCACGCCCATAACGGCTTCCACTGCGCCACCGGTGACTGCGGCGGCAAGATAGAGTGCAACGGCGCCGGCGGAAAAACTCCGGCCACCCTGGCCCAGTTCAGCCTCCACCACGGCCACAACGACCTCTCCTCTTACGGCGTCAGCCTCGTCGACGGCTTCAACATCGGCCTCACCGTCACGCCGCACGAGGGGAAGGGGGTCTGCCCCGTCGTCGGCTGCCGCGCCGACCTGCTCGCCACGTGTCCCGATAACCTGCGTGTGACTTCACCGCACGGTGGTCACGTCGTTGCCTGCAAGAGCGGCTGCGACGCCTTTGGAACCGACGAGCTGTGCTGTCGGAACCACTACAATAGCCCGCAGACGTGTAGGGCTTCGAGCTACTCCCAGTTCTTCAAGCACGCGTGTCCGTCGAGTTTCACGTACGCCCATGACACGCCGTCGCTCATGCATGATTGCTCGTCGCCACGCGAGCTCAAAGTCATCTTCTGCCACTGAACAGGATTGAACCGTCCTTTATTCTAAACATGAGTTTGGAAAAGAGATAATAAGAAAAAAGAAGTTTGTAGTTTATGGGCTTGGTGTGGTTTTTTAATTTTGCGTTAACCGTCCTTGATTCTAAACATGAGTTTGGAAAAGTGAGAATAAGAAAAAAGAAGTTTCTAGTTTATAGGCTTGGTGTGGTTTTTTAATTATGCGTTAAGAAGCGTGTTTATTAGCTTTTGTATGTTGAGATAGATCGGTGTGTCTGCGTAATGTGTAATGTTTCGTGTTGCTGCTTATTATTCAATGTCAATGCGCAAAGACATGGTTTTGTGTAATGTTTGGTGTTGCTGCTCATTATTCAATGTCAATGCGCAAAGACATGGTTTTTTGCTTTGCTTTCTTTCGCTTATACATACATTTTAATTTTGGATTAAAATTCAAAAAAAAAAATTTAATTTAAGTTATAATTTTATTTAACTTCATATTTTTTTTAATTTACCTTAAATTGAGTTTAAATTTCTGTTCACTCCACTATTTGAGTTTAAAATATGAGTTTTTTTATAATAAAAATTTTTTATAAATAGTCACATTTAATTTTTTTACTACAGTAAAAAATTTTCACATAAAGTCA